GATACTTTATGGACATTTCATATGTTAAACTAATCTAGTTTAATATAAGGGCAAAGATTATTATTTAAAGCCATCTCATATAAATGTTATATGCTTGAACAATAAGTCCAAAGAATATGTAATTAGGAGAATGTGATCTAAAGAAGTTAGATTCATGAGACCATTCTCTTTCATACATATATCCTAAACATTCCTGATCATAACATTGCCAATTGGGCATGGATGGTCTGTTAAGATCAGTACATGTTATGTCTTCTCTCTGGAAGATTGACTTGTCTCGAGTCATTTGTGTGACTGACACCAAGACAAGCATGTAGGTGCTTAATAGAGAATGAGTCCACTGAACGCGATCAATAAGGAGTTCTCGTACTCATGTCACATGAGAGCTCAAGGTTGGGATAATACAAAGTAGTCATTTGACCTGAGGCATCATAGTTGTCTTGTGGTTAGGTCCTTGGTCTTTGACTGTGTCACAGGCACTCCATCAGAGGGTGTCCATGGCATAGTTGGGGTTAAGCCACTTAACTATAAAGGTAGGTGAATGCACAACAAAGGATCTCTAACCTTCAAACCGATGAGAGAGATACTCTATGATATGATTACGAATCTCTAGCCAGAGTATGAATGAGATTTAGGAAGCTATTCCATATCACATTCAAGGTAATCATATAAATAAGAGAATCACACTGGATAGTAGACATGAATAAACTATCAAACCAAACAATGTGATCAAGAGTATTGTATTAAAGAAAGACCGTATTGCATTGTAATCCCAAACTAAATAGGTTCTCCAACCTCTTCTGATTAGCTTGGGTAGCCACGACATACTGCTAGATATCACTCATGGTTTGTGGAAGCCCTAAAGGTGTATAATCACTAAAAGGAGAATTGAAAGAAAGTTTCAATTAACAATCAATTAGTAAGAGTTCTAATCACCCACTAGCTCGCTGAAAGAAACCTAACGGATCACACACCGTGTAAGGTAATGATTGAAGGAAATAATGAAGATGAGTAAGGATAATTAATTAGTTTAATTGTATATGGCAAGGATTAATTAAAAGTTAATTAATTAAGAATTATAGGTTCGTTTTAGGCCTTAAGTTAGTTTTGGGTTTCGCGACTCAAAAGGGTTTTGGTCCACAAGGCACATAAGGTTTAAGTTGTGTGACAAGTAAAACAAAATGGGCAATTAACCTACTAACAATAGGGAGGCCAACCATGCTTAGAAAGGGAGTGGTTTTGGACTTATTACAAGTTTACCACTCCAATGAAGGTAGGCATAAAAGTAACTTTATAGCCTTTTCTTCATAAGGGTTTTTTTTCTTTGAGGAAAGATGAAAAAACACAAGCTCTCTCTTTCTCTCTAGAGAGGCAGGCCACCATGGGAGAGCATTGCTAGCATTTTGTTCTTCCATGGTCACTCATCTTCTTCCTCAACCATCCTTGGTGTCGGAACTTAGAGGTCTCCAACTTTGGGGACTTTTGAAGAACCCATTTCTCCATCCATCAAGAAGTCATGGAACCAAGAAGCAAAGTTCCTCCATCCACATCCATGGAGCCAAGGAGCACGGAGATAAAGGAAAGAAGACCCTCACATGGGTGAATATCCTTTGCTAAGCAAAGAGGTGCTTCAAAGGTATAAAAGTAGCTCAACTCCTTTCTTTAAGATTTGAGTTGAGTCTTGGTTCACCACAACTACTAGGCTTTGAATTTCATGGTTTAAGTTTTGTCTTAAAGTACATAGAAACATGCTTCCGCCATTTAATTGTTAAATGCAAGTATTATGTTGCTTAATGAACTTAATTTTTCACAAATTTTCCTTCAAATCCAACATGACACTCTGTAATCTAAATAAAACACTTGCAACACCTCCCTTTTAATTAATTTCATGATAGGAGATTCTACCTCTGATATTATCGAGACCTTATGTATAAAATTTAACACCTAGAAATAGCCAGCTAAGTAGAGACAATATCAGTGAGACTGGTGGTAAACCATTATGTGCCTTAAAGTTTATCAAATTCGTAACTTCTCCTTTCGAGTTGTGCATTCATCTTGGACTCAATTCGTTTGGTTTCAAAAGTTTATGTTTTGCTAAGACAATGTACTGGGTTGATCTTAAATCCACCACCACACGTCACAATTCATTTAATCTTAAAAAATTGTAAACATCCTTATTTAGCTAGGCATATTTGTCTATTTGCCCCCTGGACTTGTATAGAGCTATCAATTTTCCTCCCGGACTTTATAATTAGCCAATTTCCCCCTTGAACTTTGATTTTAGCCAACTACCCCCCTGAACTTTTATAAATAGCCAAATTTCCCCCTGACGCTAAATTTTAAAATTATTCATCCAACTTTCCACCCATTTTGATCACACAAACAGCACATGACAACCGTATGAGGGCAAAAAGAATGGAAAATTGGATTGGTGAAAACTGGATGAAAAATTTTAAAATCTAAAGTAGGGGGGGAAATTGGCTATTTATAAAATTTTAGGAGGGTTATCACCTAAAGTTAAATTTCAAGGAGAAAATTGCTAATTATTAAAGTTTAAGGCGTAATTGACTAAAATTAAAGTTCAATGGGAAAACTGGCAGTTCTATACAAGTTCAAGGGGAGAGGCAAATTGACAAATACCTCTTTTAGCTAATAAAGCGACATGTACGTTCATTTTGTATTGGACCCAAGAAGTATGTTTTGGAATTTTATATTTTGCTAACGCATTCGACTAGGTTTATTGCATCGTGATTAGTATGACAAGCGTAATTTAATTAATTTTAATAAATTTTTGAAATGTTCATTGAAGCTAACATGACATGTCGTAATTCATTTAATTTTAAGAAATTAGTAATAGTTCAATTTTAACTAATTTTTATCGAAGATACCTGATTCGATTGATGTTGACATAATATGTTCAATTCAGACGACACATCTTAATTCGATTAATCTAATAAAAATTATAATATTTTCATTTTAGCTAATGTCTATAAACATTCAAATCGTACGTTCAACTGTTGGACTCAATTCACTTAATTTTATTTGTTGACATATTTTATTGGGTGTATATCGTGCCAGATATAGTACGACAGGTCGTAAATTTTTTTGCCACTTTTCTTACCAAATCATAATGAAGGATACAAAAATATTATTACACTCGTTTGTAGCTTTTGGTGAAACGTTTTGAAATGATTTTTCTTGTCCGACAAAAAGAAAATGAAATGGTTTCAAATGGCTAAATTCCACCAATAAAAAGAGGTCGAAATTTTATTATCTATTTCAATTGAGATGTCAATTAAATATGTTTTATTATTTATAAAATCAAGTAGGTCGAAAGTTTATAATAAAATAATCAATAAGTAAAGAAAAATAAAAAAAAAAGAGGCGCAACATTAAAATAAAACAAAAAAAATTATTTAGGATTTTGGCTATAAATCATGTAGGATTTTGCCTTTTCTTTTGAAACTAGAAAATTATTTTTTTGTTAAAACAGTATATGTAATTTTTAACATCTCCCTTAGATATATTCTTAGGCCACCTTTTCAGCTTTAAATGGAAACAAATTAAAGAAAAATGAACAAGGAATAATAGGCCATTTATTTATTTACCATATTATCCAATGTTTATCCGATATTCAGTTTTATTTTTTCAATTTCTAATTTGTCCAGGTCAAAATTTCTTTAATTCAATCTTATTTTATCGGACATAGAAAATATAGCAAAAATATTTCCAAAACTAAAGTAAAGGACATTTTTGCTCTGGATTTTTTGCCCTCTTCGGCTATTTTGGGCTATAAATAACATCTACCCCCACACTCGTTTTCCTTGCCCTAACAAGTCGCACATTTTCCTCAAAATCCCCGCCGCTGTTTTCAATTTTTATTTTCTTGTGAAACTAACTGGTAATTCCTTATAATATTTTATTGTTTTTCAACATTTTGTTTGTTCATCGAGTTAGAGAAGTGTGTAAATTATAGAGAGTTTAAAGAGAGTAATTTTTAAAGTGATATGTTTCTAGGATTTCTAGCTATGTCTTTGTTTTCGCTTAAAGTTTTGGTGTTGTGGTTTTTTATCTTTTGAATGACCAAGTGTTGATATTTGATACTTAAAAAAAAACAAGCCACGTTTTGATCATTTTGGTTTTTGAGTTGCATGCTTTGATCTTCTAGAAAAATGGCTAAGTAACCGCAAAAATTTAAACATTGAAAATCAACTAAAATTCTTTTAGTTTCACTCAATTTCCCTCTCCTTTTTTCTCATAGAAACGATTTATATTTTGATTGAAACGATTTATAATTTACACTCGATTTCTATCTCTTTTTATCTTATTTAATTGAATTGATATATATTTGAAACGGTTTTTTCGAACTTTGGTTTGGCTTTAATTAATGAAAAATGTTATTGGCACTCTAAAAATCTAATTCTACACTCCTCACAAGTGTATTTTTCTTTCTAAATATAGAAAGTTTGAAGTGTAGAATGAGAAATTTGGAGTGCCAATAACAATTCCCTAATTAATTAGATGTGTTGATATTTGAATGCTTAAAAAAGACAAAGCCAAACTCTTCCAAATGATAACTTTTTGATTGTGTCCCTGGTGGATTCAGACTTCAAAGTCTAGATGTTGGGAAAGATATAAGTTTTTTGAGTTCAATACATAAATCTTTTTCTCCCAACTGGATCCTGCTTTATGATTTCTATCTTCTACAAGTTGAGTAAACTGGGGGGCCTGAATTTATTGTCTAGTTCATGTGAAATTATTTTTTAATTCAGTTCTTTGTTACTTTGGAGTTAGTTAGGGTTTCGGTTTTATATGGTTTTTCATGTGTAAAGGTTAAATGAAAGAATGAAAGATTTGAATTAATTAGCATCTTGGCCTCTTTTATCTGGTTTCTTTTGTTTTATTTATTTTTATTTTCTCTGTCTTTCTTCTCATGGCCTCTTTTGTTGCAGTTGCTGACAGATTTTGGAGGTTTAGGGTGATTGCAGGTTTTTGTACAAATGGCAGCTCAAAGGCCAGGAACGAGTGAAATTCCATCAGGTTCGCACGCATTTCCCATGACCGAGATACCTAATAACCAGGCAGCAGGGTTACCTGCAGCAGCAACGGCAAGAAAGTCGACTGAAGTTGCATCGGGGTATCAGGTCCCGAATAAACAGGCTGCATCGCTTGGAATGGCCCCACCGCCGCCCAGGGGTGGATCGAATGTTGCTAGCACTTCAGGCACAAAAAAGAGGGGAAGGCCAAGGAAGTATGGCTCCGACGGGACAGTGCCAGCGGCAAAGAGATCATACTCGCCAAGAGTGCCGACTTCATCACTTGCCCCATCAGAGCACAATCAGGATAAGACACCAACATCCGAACCAATTGGTGGGTATCTTCTAACCATTTTAGTATTCACTCATTTGCATTTATAGCATTTGCAGTTAAAGGGGGAGGGCCAGGGGTGGATATCTAATGCTGCTAGCACTTCAGGCACAAAAAAGAAGGGAAAGCCAAGGAAGTATGGCCCCGACGGGACAGCGCCAGCGGCAAAAAGATCATACTCGCCAAGAGTGCCGACTTCATCACGTGCCCCATCAGAGCACAATCAGGATAAGACACCAACATCCGAACCAATTGGTGGGTATCTTCTAACCATTTTAGTGTTCACTCATTTGCAGTTAGGGTTTGAGAATGATATGTGTTATGTAACAAAATAAGGTATAATAAATGTGCTGCGAGTTCGATCTATAGGAAAATTTTGATGGTGTCAGTTCGGTTTTGGTCAGTATTAATAGTTTGTTTCTGTTTATTTTTTAGTGGTAACGCTTTCAGACTTAAAAGATTATGGGTTAATACTCTTGGATTTCTCTACTTGATACTAATTAAGAATAAGTTAAAGTTAAGAGTTAAGTAAAGTTTGTCGTTATTTCCTTTCCATTCTTAGGTGTAACGTCACATGATTAGCGAGATAGAGAAGAGGTTATACGGTTGAATTTCTCGTGCGCAAGTACTCTAAGGTGATAGAATTGAATAAAACATTAGATATTAACTAGGTACCATAACTTTGAAAGTGGACGCCCATCCTTACTTTCTTATTAGGCTTTTAGATTATAATTAGAGTTGTGAGAAGTTTCTATTAGAATACAGCAGGTTTTCATCGAGCCTACGAGTCTTATATTTTACAAAAACTCTGAGGTTTAGCAGCTAATCATGTTTTGTATAATTACTATACAACATATACTCGTAAGTCCTATCAGCGTTTACTCATTATACGCCCTTCTCTCTATCTATACCGCCCGCCTTCACCTCAGCCTGCCGACTGATCATTCAGTCCCCGCTATAAAGCGAAATCTTTATTTAGCTTCCTTTTTGTATCTGGTCCTTTCTTTTTGAATTTCTTTTCCAGAAAAGAAAAAATTAGTACGAAGATCTTCTTTCCCGGTCTTATCGCCATTCCATTTCTTCTTTTCTCTCATTTCTCTCACAATGATCCCCATCAATCTAAACTCATAACCTCATCAAACTTTAGTTGTTATATTGATCCACTTACCTCAAACGTCAAATCTAAACCCCTCCTCAATGCTCCTACTCAACCCTTTTGGCCGTCATTCAGCTAGATTTAACCCCTTCACCCGTCATTAAGCTAGGGTTATTCCTTTCATCCTTTATCTAGGGTTGGCAACTTGAGTTCACTCCTATAATAGTTAACCCTAACCTGATAATTTAAAGTATCCTTGTCGTGTTCGGGTTTGTGTCAGAAAAGAAAGAAATTTATGTTCACTCTTGGTTCTCTCTCACATGTCGTTCGGATTCATCATCCTCCCTCTTGGTTTCTGTCACATACTCGGAAGGTACAAACTGTTTCTTTTGACTACAAAGATTTGGTTTTAAGGAAAGAATTAGACAAAGACAGATTAAAATTATGGTTGAGTATCAATGGGAAGCTGGTACAGATGGGGGAGGAATCGAATGAATCCATATATCATATCTGGCTAATATTCATAGATTGCTTGGAACTATAGGTTTCATTGTTGATCAGTCCATTCTCTTTTTTTATTTTTATTTCAAATCAGTCTTTCCATTTTCCATTTTTGTTTGGTTTGTCATGAAATCTGTGTAGAGACGATTGTTTTTTACATTGTGCAGTTTAGGCTCTCTTTATTTATTTATAGGCTTCATTTCTTATTTGACCTTTAGTACTGTAGTTTACGAAGTAGGTTCACTTTTTATTCAAGTATACATGTTTATTGTGCAGAACCTTAAAATCGAAGGGGTTCATCTCTGTGGAAAATTTGATGCCGTATATTTCCATTTTCTCTTGTTGAACTATCACCTTGAGTGCTTCTATTCAGGATTAAGAGAGTGATTATAGAATGTGTGTTTATTTCAAAGGATTCTTGTGCTCACCACCTATCATGAAAAGTAGCTTTCATTATATTTACTGCAAACGTTATGCGCTGAATATTGAAATTAGATTTTTAAAGAGTACGGTAGACTAACCCTTCTATATTGTTAAGAGTACCGTAGACTAGCCCTTCTATATTGTTATTTTGCAGGGAGGAACTGGAGTTCAGTCATTACTCAATGCAACAGTTTTATGCCCCATATGATCACTATCAGTCCTGATGAGGTAAATTAAAGCATCATTTACTGAGTGAAGTTTCTTCCTGACTTGTACTTAGTTTTGGTTAGCTGTCTGCCCTTGATATGAAATTCACCTTGGTTGTTACATAAAAATTTACAGAATGTAGAAAAGTATCATAAGGATTAGGAACAAATGTGAGGAAAAGTTTATTGCATTATCAGAAACTTCCAATGGCTTTACTTAAATTGATGATAGTCGTAACAGTGCTTCAGTATCCTAATCTAAATAAAAAGAAGCTTCTTATGAAAAACGTTAAAAATACTACTCCTATTATATATAGAAAACAATTTTGTTATGATATATTTTACAATGTAACTTCTTCTGTGTGTTTGGTCAATATGCAACTCTATTTATTTATTTATTTTTTTTTTTTTTTTTGTTGCTTGATATGTAATGGAGCTTTTCACTTTGTTTCCTTTTTGTTTTTTTGGTTTAAGGATGTTGCATGGAAGATTGCAGAAGCTGCTCAACAAAGACGTCGAGGCATTGTCATTATGTCTGCAAATGGAATGCTCAAAAAAGTTGCAGTGATTGATCCGGCTCATGACGACGGTGTCGTAAGACACGAGGTCTGCCATACTCATTCCATTTCGAGATATAATATACACATACATATATAGGATCAAGAGCCAAATATTTTGACAAATATCTTTACACTCCATATTAGCTCTTGGATCTTTTTACATCTAATGGTCCTCAATAAAACTAATATGACTCAAAATAAACTACTAAATGATGTGGTAATGACATGGAAATAAAAAGATATTATTCAATTAAAACATTTTAAGGAACCTTATCAGGTTAGGAAAACGTAAACTTCCCAGCCTCCATCTTCCTCTAAACCCCTAGGCCATTGTTAACTAAGATGACAAGAACTCAATCACCCATGGTGGATTATCAATCTTGATCACTCCGTACAACCTAATCGACCCTTTCACCATCTTCTTCCTTCTCTCTCCTCCCTTGAATCATCCTCAGTATCAATATTGTATTTTCATGGGTTGTCTGAAATTGCAAGTCATGGGAAGCAAGCAATACAAAGTGGCTGAAGAAAAAGAGGGGATTAAAAGATAGAATCAGAGAACTCTTGTCCCATTATTAAAGAATTCCATTTTTTTTTTTTTCAATCAGTGAAGATGCCCCGATGATGCTTCTAAGCCCAGAAACTGAGTCTTGATATCGGAAATAAAATTGAATCTTCATAGAGAAAGATGCAGTTTTGAAACCCTAAATTAACTTACATTAAATTCTTAAGCATGTTGTGTTCACGATTACAGGTAGCTAGGGTTTTTTCTTTTTTAAAATTTATTTTTAATTTTTCAGATTTTATGTTGTTTCAGTTTTATTTTCATCATTAATATTAGTTAAAATCCACATAAGTATTCATGTCATTTAATGAATAAATAAGAACTCTTGGATGTTATAAAATCTAAAGGCTACAAAGAAGTGTAAAAATATTTGTCCCTTGATCTTATATATGAGTCTGTGACCTTGGTTTGAGAATGAAAATTGAAATTTCTTGTAGGGTCAATTTAAAATAATTCAAATGTCTGGGACGTTTATGATACATGACAAGGAAGGAACTAGGCGTGGTGCCATGACTGTTCATTTGGCAGATTTTGATGGTCGTGTTTTACTGGGAGCTGTAGGAGGAGCTCTGATAGCTGCCACTCCTGTGCAGGTGAGGCTTTTCTTTCTCTTGTTTTTTCTGGGACGCGTGTGATATATTTTTATTTGTTTGCATGTGTTTCTACCGCTAATGTCTGCGTATGGTAACGTGCTTTTCGTAAAGTGCTTTGGCTATCCAGATACCCTAAAACGAATACGTTTCATTTCTTCTATGAACATACCACCAGGTCTTCATAGGGAGCTTCACCGCAGGACCGCAAAAAATAACACCAAAGGCTGAGAAGCCCGACCAAGAACCAAATGTGGAGGAGCCCGGGGCAGAACCAAACGTGAAGACGCCCGAGCCAGAACCAAATGTTGAGACGCCCAGGCCAGAACCAAATGTGGAGACGCTCGGGCTTGAACCAAATATTGGGACGCCCATGCCAGAGCCAAATGTAGGGCCAAACGTTGAGATGCCCAGGCCAGAACCAAATGCTGGCGTCGCACCTTTTGAAGATAACCAACTTTTTTATCCTCCAAATCCAAACTTCGGATATTCCTTACCTTCCCAAGGAGAAGATTCGGGACAGTGGTGGAATAATCCATTCGACTCGCTAGACGATCTCAATGTTTCCGATTTTCAGTAGTGATTGAACCAGCTGTTTCACAACAAACAATCATCTTATTCTTAATGTTGGTGATTTTTGTTTTTTTCTGAATGGGTTCATTTTGTATACAACAATTAAAATAAATACTGCTTCATGATTCTTCTGCCTTAAGAACGTTGTGAACATAACTTAACATATGTGATTGTGTAAGTCCTAATTAGATTGGGTTTTAGATTATCCATTATTCTAGTGATTTTTTCCTGTTAGAATACTTTTTCCTCATAGTTTACTATAAATACAGTACTGGCATAGGGAGAATCAAATCACACAATTCCTAAGCATTCTACAAATTTTCTCTCTTGCCGCACCCTCTCCCTACCCTTTAGAAAATTGGTCATAACACGATCAATACGCTTCTACAATGCACTACGGAATATGAAGGGGAAGTATACTAATGAGTCCATATTATACCATATATTTTACCCTAATCTTAGTATTAATATATCGGTTATTTTAGTAGAATTTTGATACTTTGTATTATATTTTCAATGTAGGACATTCGACTTCCTCTGAAGCAAAATGTGATCAAATGGATGAATTTTGGAGCAATTCCAATTGGAAGATGTTCGTGTGCCTTTCAAGATGATTGTATCAAAATTCCAGACTTTTCTACCAAGCTGTTTGACCATGGCGACGAAATAAAGATCCAACGCACAGCTTTCCCATAGATGTTTTTAGACGTTTTGGGTATTTTGGAGGTCAAGATGGCATATTTTGAGGAAGATTCCTTCTAAGATTTGTAGGGGACGTCTTCAGCTTTCAAAAGAGAACTTTTAGGACCAAATCGGAATTGATTTGATCAGTCAAAAGTATGATTTTCTGAGAACTCCGAATTCTAGTTCAAATAGGAAACCTTTTATTTTATGTTTTATCATTTAATTATGTTTCTTAGTTTTCTTCTAGGACCCTTTCAAGGTAGGATTTTATTTTGTAGTAGTATAAATAAGGCTTTTTAGCCATTAGGTTAGAGAGTGGAGAACGCAATACTTTGGCTTTAGAGAGCCTCGATGATTCAAGTTTATTTTCAAGGTGTTTTCTATCTATGTTCTTAATAATATTTTGTTTTATGGTTGTTAGTAACTAGTTTCGTTTGCTAGGGCGAAGCCACGAGCCTTAGCAAGAATATGTAGGTTCTTTTCAATTTACTTCTGATATTATGCATGCAGGTTTTGAATTGTTAATAACTGTGCTTTAAACTATCTATTTGTCTTAATGATTGGTCACCATTAGGATATTTAGAAAAGTAATTTGATACAATTTTGGTGGAGGGCTGTCCCTGAAATTGGCGCTAGCTTCTTATGGTTAATATGTGTAACTTCTTAGGATAGATGACACATCTTATGGGTTGTATGGTTTTTCAAAAGGTTTTCACAAAACTTAATGAGTCTTGCATGTTCACATTCGATATGGACGCCACAGACGAGTTGCATGTTAGATACACGTTCTATGTTGGAGGTTCCAAGTAGGGCATACTTTAGGAAAACCTAACCTTCAAAATATGCATGTGTAATTCATAAGGAATTAGAAGAACTACCTAGGATTGTTAGGGTGACGGCTGAATCCTAGGTTTTACAAATTGACTTTCTTTAAATTGTTCTCTAGTTAATTTCTTTAATTGTTTTATTTTAAAATTCGTTTATATTATATTAAATTTTGGAATCAACATTTTCAAAACTTTGTTTTCAATAATTAATTAAGAGTTGGTTTTAAACATAAATTATTCATTCAATCCCTATGAAAAACGACCTTGCTTGAGCCGCTATACTACGACAACCTTGTACTCTTGCAAGTATTTTTAAGGATTTTTATCCCTACTTTTGCAGTTGGTAAAATCCCTATCATACACAAATATAAATATACATATGTACACACACACACACACACACACACACACGCACACACATACATACATATATATATATATATATATATATATATATCAAACCATCATGAAATAGGTTTAAGATCAAATAAAGGCCATGCCCAATGCATAATTAGCAGGTGAAAAGTAAAGGATTGGAGTGTGTAAAAACATGACATATGTATACTAGCAGTAGCAGCTTACTAGGTTGAGCTTTGTTTCACCCTTGTTGCTAGAAACTTATTTGTGTAAGTAACTAGAGGGCTCAACACTGAAGCACAAGATGGCTGGTTCAGACTCTAAATAAGTTATAATACATAAAGTACATATTATCAAATCAGATATTGTCAAATCAAATTCATATAAGCAATGAATCATATTAAGATGAATACAACAATAACACATATCAGCAATATCACACACAATATCAAATATTATGCATATAGTCATGTACAAAATCATGGTAACCTCTTGATCATCATAAAAAATATAGATAATCAGTACTAATATTTCATACACCAGCAGTTGCTAGAAACTCAAACATATATATGGAAATGTTGTATACCTAACACATGCGGTGAATATGAAACAATCGATATAATAGACAAGAGAACATCCCGTTCCAAAAAAAAAAAAAAAAAAAAAGTCAAGAAAACATTGTCTTATAGATTCTCCGAGTATTTTTTTTGATATGGTTTGTCGTGGATTCAAATCAATTGTTTGACCAAGAAAAGGAAAATTCTAATTATATTTCTCATAGAGCTATATGTGTCTGCAGGCCTGATGGGCGGAAGGTTAATTGGCAATTAATATAAACCTTAATTAACTCTTAAGTCATCCATAATTATTTATGAAATAATTAATTAATGATATCTTTGCTCAAAAGTCCTACTCTTGATCATCCATCCTCCTTTATAGACCACCAAACACTCAACAGAGAGCTTTGGTTTATCTGAATATTATATACCACCATCATTCCCCAAAAGCAAGGAAGCTGGGAAATTTCTCTGTAATATAACAAAAGCTAAGCGCTATTGGCAAACGCGTAATTTTATGTTTAGCGAATGCCATGTGGACATGCATACAAATTCATAGAATTTTTATACAGTAATCAATATAAGTAATGCATTTTATATATAACGTCCAGGAGTGGACTTTTGGCATAGTTTCCCACCAGGAAACGTCTTCGCCGTGCATTATTTAATGGTGGCCTTCTGAACTGGGCTATAAAAAGAACCCTCTAAATATTTTTCTACATGAAAATTTAGGGCAAACAAAGAACATCACTAACCTTGGTCATAGAAAGGCATATATGAAGGCAGTTTCAGCACCAGCAGTACTTGTTTTCTTTCTTTTGTGTCTAGCAATCCCTCTTATCCTTTTGATTTCCTTCTCAATGTCTGTTTCGGTTTCACAACACCACAACTTTCTTCTTTCCACCTACGAATCTATCGTGGTGGCAAAATCGAATCGTGTAGCTGTGTTCTTCATGTTTAATGTCATCTTTATCACAATTGTGCTAGGGAGTTTCAGGCCATCCAAAGAAGAGCTTGAATGGTATGAAGTGAAAAATGATTCAAAAGAAGAAGAACCAAAGGTTGAAGACTATTATTGTGACTATAGTAGTGATTATGAGGAGGGCAGTGAGTATTATGGTTCCGATGGTTATGATGAAGACGAAGATGATGATAGTAGTGACGACGATAGTGAAAGTGAAGAATTTTTTGCTGAAGAAAAAGATAGTGACTTGGAGAGGAGAACTGAGGATTTCATAGCCAAAGTCACAAGGAAATGGAGAGAGGAGTTGCTTTATGATCATATGTTTATGGCTTCGATAGAGTCACAATCATCCAGCTCTAGCTAGCTCTAATATTTCTTCAATGCTAGTTCAATGTGAAAAACTTCAACTTATTTTCTCACCAGGTAAAAGAAAAGAAAAAAGAAAAAACCTAAAATCGTTTTTGTTGTTAGGTTTTCTCATCTTTTGTTTTTCTAACCCCTTCAATTTTTCTTTTCTTTTTTTTTTTTTTTTTTTTTTTTTTGCTTTAGATGTTGAAGTAATTGGGGTTCAATAAGTCTCTTGATAGTTCTGTTTTTTTGAAGGACACTGTTGGGATTCAGTTGGTGATGTAATATATGATATGATTATATGAATGATGTAAACATAGTTGCTGTGTAATATTATAATAATGTTGAAGAATAACAATTGTTGGACTATTTCTTGGAATTCAAGTTTTCATTTTGGAATATAATTATGAAATAATTAATTAAGTCGTCAGACCATCTAGGTGTGAGCGGATCTTTATGATCTCAGCACCAGTTAATTAGGGAACAAAGAAAACGAATACAGTTTAAATATTTCCCACTGAGAATATCTACCCCAAAGTCCTAGGAAAAGGCATTTACTTTTATTTTTAATTATCTTATTAAAACTTTAATCAAGGAAACAAACCTTTGAAGTCTTGAAGTAATCAGTATTATTAAGGATATGCTATGGCACCTTATTAGAGTTCATGTAGGAAGATATGTAGCATGCAGGAAATGCCATTTTCTCTCAAATTCTATATGATTATCGTAAAGTAAACAAAGACCTACTTTACTGATTCTTTGCATATATGGTTATTTAAAATCCAATTCCAATGTATTCACCTAGTTGTTCAAATCCATTAAATCTAATTGTTGTGGGAAACCTGTCTAGTTGTCCATCTAGTATACAATTCCCAGCATTTGATGGTATTGGTTCTAAATTTTAAAAGGGTAGTAATTTTGTACAATTCAAAAGGAATTTATTTTTTATTGATATTTTCTTGTCACTAATTTACCACGTGACAAACGTTAACTGAACAAATAACGAGTGGAGCCATTGAGACCAAATCCTGATTGCGATAAAACTTATATTCTGTGTTTCCGCTGTTTTGTACAAACCAAACCACATAATCAATGAGATGTCAATAAATACAAGTATCTCTGTATTCACGTTACTTTGAGGCTGATAAAGTCCAATATATTAGGCTGAAATTACATGCCTGTCTTGGTCAAAACACCATTTGTTGCCCTTAAATGTAGAAACTTAGCAAAGATATGTTGAAATGTTCCACATCGGTTGTATCTCTGAGAAAATAAGAGTTTAAATACCTTAATCTCACTCCACCTAACACTGAGGCCTTTTGTGATAAAACTTCACACTTGTCGAATTGTGCAAGTGGTAATTAACAAGTTAGGGACAATATCGATGTTGTTAGAAGTGGTAATTAACAAGTTAGGGACAATATCGATGTTGTTAGAAGTGGTCCCTTGGCCCGTCTCTTTGATCATTCCATATAGTATCAAAGCCATGGAGTAGGACCGTACTGCTATGTGATGGGTGGGTCCCTTTGGCCCCGCGTGTAGGTTGAATCCCTTTGGCTCCACGTGATTGCCGACGTGTGGATCTTCCACATGTGACCAACTAATTGGGTTCCACGTGAGGGAGCGTGTTGAAATGTCTTACTTCAATTATATGTATGAGAAAAGAAGAGTTTAAGTATTCTAACCCCCGCTCTACCTAACACCAAGACCTTTTGTTATAAAACCCCACACCTATCGAACTGTGCAAAAGATAATTAACAAGTACAAGTTTGTTGGAAGTGACGTACTAAAAGAGGCTTGCTTACCCAACAAAGTCCTCCTACAAACACAATACAATATTGATGAAACTTCATAACCACCAGAATTCCAGATTCAATTAGTTGGCAACTACAGGGATAATTATGATCTCAATTAAGGTTTATTAGAATGTAATTAACTATAAGAAAGTAACTAATCAAAGAAACTCTCATCACGTGACAATGATATATTATCCGGGACACCTAAGAATCTCCCCTTCACTAGGGATTGAAAAAGTATTATGCTGTGGATTTTGAATACCCGTGAGAAAGATAAACAAAATAGTTTTTGCTGCATTTTGTAACTCTGGGACAAAGTCTTGTTATCAACGCGCGTAAATTCTTCCGTGTGGTTGCCGTGTCCGGCAACAGGGACTGACCTGTTCAGATTAGGCACAGGGTCTTCTGCAATCCCAGAGCCAAAGGCATGCAGATGTGGACGCGGATAAGTTAAGTCTCCTTAGCATTTCTCGTTAGTCTAATGCGAAAATAAACAGTAATTGGCTCAAGTCAACTGCGGAATTCCTTGCTCCACCCAATCACACGTCTTCTTTTTCTCTTTCCTCCAAACAAACTTATTGAATTCTTATTGTATTAAATGGGATTAAGTACGAATAACCACCAATTTTTTATGAGTGATTTCAAAGTCTGAACCTTTGTAAACATTTTTTTAATCAACGGTATCATCTATACTAAAAATATGAGAAGTGGGCTTAGTCTTATAATAGACTAGCAATAATGCAGTTCAAATTCGCTTTTGACAAGAATCGAACTGAAAACCTCTCACTTATAAGTGAAGAGGAATACTCTTAGACCATAATACTAGGTGACAACCTTTGTAAACATTTTTAAAAAAACTACCTAACGTTGTTTCCCCAATTGAAGTTGTTGACCCAATTGAAGTTGTTTTCTTAATTGGAGTTGATTTCTCAATTGGAGAAAAATTCATAACTAGATTCCAATTAGGATTAGTATTCCTTATTGAAGAAGACCTTTATTATGTCTATACGTATAAAGGGGCTAGTGCACTAGTTTTGAAGTGGAGCAAAACAATTAAGTTATATACTACTCAAGGAGTTAGAGTGAGAAAATATTGTAAGGGCAAAGGGTTTGCATGAGAAAAGAAAATAGATAAAGAGTGTATTTCTTGTTCTTGTTCTTTCAGGTTTTTCGTTAAGTCTTGATCCTAGACGCTTGTCAAGATTATCCGTTGCAATTATTATTGATATAGTGAAAGGTTGTTGTTGCCCAATGAACGTAGGCACATATAGCCGGACTACATTAATTCTTGGTGTTGTTTGTCTTAGTTTTTTATTTTTGAATTCCAACTTTCTTTGTTTTTCCCATGCTTAAACACTATAATCACAGTAAAATGGAAATTATAATCATTTTAATTCTTGAAACATAGGAGTAGAAACTAGTTCACTTCTAATCATTATCATGTATTTACCAAATCTTTAGGGGGAAGAGAATCATAGCTGACTATGTAACGGCATCGTTTGGTGCGAGTACTGGATTCCAATGGATCGGGCTTTCCCATGGGCGCTCAGAAATTAGAGTCCAGGGGTTTCATCATTATCATCACGCTTAAGATCATCAAGAACGACAATGATGATAAAGTTTATGTGACACAAGATGAGTTCCGACGATTGGGGTATATCTATACTGTATATCTCGCCGATGGGGATACATCAACAGTGGATGTCACAAGCGATTTGAAATGCATCCACAACTGTAGCGACGGAGGCGCCTGCCAAGCCGACGGACAGAGGCGAGGTGTCCCAGTGAGACGTTTCTCCATACATAAAAAATATATACACACATAGGGTCTCCTTCTCTAATTCCAGGGCTGGAACAAAGGATTCAGTAATTTCTCCGTTTAGGATGATTATATTTCACTCTACTTGCATAATTAAGGAAATCTGCACAGATGATCGGCATCAGCCATAGAAAAATGAGTACGAAATGGATTCGAAAATTCAACGGTAAATTCACACCTGTTTTGTGAGCGTTTATACAAATTTTGAGCATGGTCTCCCCGGACCTTTACGCTATAAATATGCATGCATGGAGCCTTACTAAACAACCACATTAACAGTGATAGAAGGGGCCTGCGCGCTGCTAAACCGTCCATAAGTCAATACATATGATCCACTAAACTCGAAAAACAAGTCGAAACGGCAAAAACATCTGGAAGTGCAGCAAGTCAGAAAATATTGTTCACAGAAAAGCTACTTGCTTTCTAGATGTGAAATTAGCAGGCTCTAATTCATCAGTAAAACTCGATACAAACTTCCATTGGAAAGCGCAAAGGGAGCGGTGGTACAATTAGAAAACAAAACGAAAAAATTACGGACCCTAGGTTTCACCTGCAACGAATCATCCTAAGGGTTGAAAACTGAAGGCTACACCGACCTATGCATACATGGTACAACAAGGTTTAACAAATGAAAGAATTGCTGATACAACACACTATTTACATTTATATTCCCTTTTCTTCCTTGACAGCCTCCAAAGCTTCTAATTCAGCCATCATCCGAGAGTATTCTTCATCAAGCTCTTTTATTGCACTTCTGAGCTGCGTCGCCTGCACAATTAACAATAGTTAAGGTTTAGATGATGGCGGGCGTAATGTACAACCTTTCAGTTTCACAACTAAGCAAGGTAAACTCTTAAGACCATCGAAAATAGTTGGATTGAGAAGTGCATCAAGAATCCTACTTCTCAAGCTTTGCATTTTTTCACAGTTGAGAACAACAAAAAGAAAATTAAGGACGCAAGTACAAAAACTAAATACTCGATTAAAGTAATTATTCAGTGTGATTTTCGTACCTTGAGATTAAGTTCTTCATTCCTCTTCTCATATTCCAAGCAGCTGACAAGGTGAAACAAACAGCTAAGAACCTTTAAAATATTCAGGAAGTAAACTCTCTTAATTTGCAAACAAAAAAAAATGATTGTTCAAGTAATGGAATCGGCATAATGAAAGACGTAATCATGTACTTACTCAGCTCGAAGCTTTTTGTTCTCTTGCATCAAATTTACAGCTTCTTGATCTTTCCGCTGGTCTCCAGTAGGACTCACCAGCTACAGAAAATAAAATTCATAAAAAAAATAAAAATAAAAAATAAAATCAGAGACTTAATATTTTCATTTGAATATCTTGAGTCCATAATCTAAAAAACAGGGCACACACGATGTCAACATGATTACACTGGCTAACATACATAACTCTTAGTAAAACACACAAAACCAACTTAACACAAATAACAATGAGTTTTACATTTATTTCTAGTTCTCCTATAGCCAATAGAAAATCAAAATAAATAAGCTGGCATATCCAACATACACTGACACACTTTTTTCCACAAGGATGGAAAAGTGACAATTTAAACAAGTTGCCACTGACCTGTACATTCCGACTCTTCTCGTTAACCACCTTGGCCACTTTAACATTTTTGACCGGTAGAATATCACCATGTTCCTTCCTCTTCATCCCTCCCACTACAACAAAAGGCACCATCACCAGTCAGTAAGATTAATCAAGAAAAACTGATCTCAACTCAAGCAGCTACCTTGTTCAGATCTGGTTTGGGAGTTGGGTATCGACTGTTCAGATCTTCCAAGTGCCGTCTTTTTACTACCAACAGCAGGGAAACTTTGACCCAATCTGACATGTTGTACACCACTAGGTGGCGCACGATTAGATGAAACCTGTTGGGTAATCTTAGGACCAGATGAAACCTGTGACACAAGTTTCTTCTTTACCTGATACCCAATTAACCCACAATGATAATCCCTGCCAAAGTTCAATACAATGCATCAGGAAAATAGCAGCCACCATTTTTTTTTTTTCAAAAGACACTTTGCAAAGAAACAGTAATGCAGTATAGGCTCATGTATGAATGATGCAGGTTAATGTCCCATGTCAGTGCGTTGTTGGATTTTACATGTAGTTGAAGCATCCAGTGGCCATACCAGTACCAGTTTCATGTAAAATTGACATGGATGAGGGCTACATATATGGGTCCCCATGTGAGTTCTAATACAAGCCAGCTGATCATTCTATATTAATATTACAAACAGACAAACAGCTTCATGACTGAAATAAATCAATTGCAAGTTTTGTATCAAGCTCATCACAATGATACATAAAAGTAAAGGAAAACAATCAAATTTATTCGGTTGTGCAAAGTTACACATTTTACACAAAAGGGAAGAGACATGAGTAAAATGAAGCTTTTTGCTATCATCGAATTTCTAAGACCCAAACCAAAGATAAAAAATAAAGACGATTACTATTGGAAAATAGACTACCAGTATTCCCACGTCATCTCCTTTAAGCGAACTTCAAGTTTCTGAAAAAGATTAGTTTTCTCAAAATCTTGCTTGTTGTGACTTGGCTCAACAAAATTTGCTTCCAGAACACCTAAAGAGTAGCCAATGAAATATTAGCCTGTAATGACAGACGCACAAAAAGAAAAAGAGCCCAATAAAAAGAGTGATTTAGCAGGTTGTTACCAACCACCCCCCGACCCCTACTGTCTGAATAGCTCACAACCTGCCAATAGGGCTGCAAAAGAAGAGAATGGGAAATTATAAAGACAGTTGAAAAACAAATTCATTGAATAGAGGCTTTTAGGCTTTTACATATGTGGAATAGACTATGTATGCATTTCAAAAAGTTTTCACATTTTTTTTTTCAGAAGCACACCCCTTTCCATTAAGCAACATTATACCAAAACATAAACCAAAGACCTATACATGCTCCGGTTAGAAGATGCAACTATGAGACAGAGGTACAAGGCAAAAGGAGTAGAGGAAGACCTAGGAAGACTTGGAAAGAGACTCTAAGAAAAGACTTGGAGTACTTGGAGCTAACTGAAGAGGTGCAAACCGAGTGCAGTAATGTTCTAGGATTCATATAGCCAACCCCACTTAGTGGGATAAGGCTTTGTTGTTGTTGTTGTTGTATACTAAAACATAAACCAGTTCCCCAGGGCAAGACATACATTCTTAAGACTGTCTTGATCTTACAATCTTTGCGACAGAAAATTTGTGTTCTCCCACAGGCAGTAAGTTACATGTAGTGACAATATAAATGACCAACTAGAAACATTCAAGGAGAGAGTGAGGGAGGCATATGTGTATGTGAGTGCAGGAGTAAAGATAGTGGGAACATAAATTGAAAATAGTTCCTCAAAATTACATTGATAGCCAACACCGCCAGCAGAAAGTACAATTTCTGAAGTTAGCTGTATTAGATGGTTTTGTGATACACATAATCCTACAGTGTATGCATGCATTTCTCTGCATGTGTGCCGGTATGAACATTCTTGTACTGGTCCAAAAATAAACTATAGCGTGTAGAACAAAATAAATATTCTCCTCAAAATTAATTGATAGCAAGCAGCATCAGCAGAATGTCAAATCAGCAAGGAAAACAAACCAGTATTAGACGATTTTTGTGATACACATTGAAACCATGGAAACTGACATGTGGAGCTTCTTTAAGAAATCCAATAGTCGTAATAACTTGACCCTGCATGAAGAATCCACTACAAAGTTAAGGAAACAGCAAACAGATGGGAATAATTCAAAAGGTAAATAACAACTCGATTTTTCCTGATGGAAAATATTCATTTAGCAGTAAAACCACAATTAGAAATGTTTAAAAATTCAGTATAACCTCCACAGAACCTCCACTTTGAGGTTTATACAAGATAAATTCTGGAAACTTTAGATCATTTGCAATGTTATGATGCTCAACAACTCGTCCGCGAAGTACTATGTGAAAGGTTTGTGGTATCCGCAAGTACAAGATGGACAAGTATACCTGTGAAGCATAAGGAAACTATCAAATTCTGCTAAAACACATTTTTGTATATATAATCAATTACGCATATGCTACAAAAGTATTACACGGAGAGAAAAACGGAAACGGTTTGCAATGTGCTCTTCATTTACTGTCTTAAATTTAGTGTCAACTTTTTTGGTATCCCCACTAATGCGAATGTCCTGCAACACAAGTCACAGAAAGCCATCTCAACAGATGAGGACAAATTACATTTCAGAAGAAACTAGAAAAGCACATGATATGAAAGAATTGTCAACCTCAGGATCTGTATCAAAGTCTAGCTCCAGATTCCCATCATCACTGAACCACAAATTATAGACAATAACTTTTGTACCACGAGCTCCAATGTCATTAAACTGCCATCTCAAGAGCAAATGAAAATAGATCAAACTCAGATGAACACACGTATCAGCAAAGCTTGACATAAAGAACTATGAAAGCCATCCAAATAGCATGAAACACCAATGGAATTTAGTAGTGATACCACCTGTTCACTTAGAGTAGGTGAAATTGCCCATATTTCCAGTAGATTTCAAATAAGAGTAACCTTAAATTAATGCGTATGCATACCATATTCAGACCTAAGTTGCACAATACAAGTACGTGGGATATACAATATCTGGTCTTGAAGGGGGACTATACAATATGACACAATGCAGAAAGTCTCCAAAGACTAGGATATGAATAAGGAAATGCAATTGCAATAACACATAATACATTACATATTTTTTGAAAAACAGGTTAAATAACAATCAAATCTATTAATCCCTTGTTCATGCATCAAGTTCTTTCTTTTTCATGGTCTGGCGCTAAGCAGGTGAGTTCTTCTTGCTTTAAGGTTTTTTTACCCTTCTGTTCTATCCCTAGCCCCTATTTTCTTTGTTTTGTTTTGACAAATCCACAATAAATATAGAAAGAAAGGAATGGCTTCGTTGTTAAGGCTTAGATTAACTTTCAAAATCAGATGACCTCCAAACTATACACCAATCGATCAATAGTAATATCTAATCATATTACAAATATACAGAAAGATAAGGAAAAAAAAAACTCCTTAAGTGCAATCTTGTGAGTACAGATCTGAGTGGCTGGTTGCCCACACTTGCAGGATCTCATGAATCTTATACACATAATACATCACATACAGAAAAATAAAAAATAAAATAAATAAAAAATAAAAAATAAAAAAACGTATTTTATGAATCACCTGCTTTAGAAGATCAGCCTCAGTTGAATATGGGGACCATTGTAGCAGCATGGAAAGATTAGACATAAAATGTTCCCTCCCATGCATAACTTCTAATTTATTAGTTAATGTGTTGAATTCATAATCCACCTGCAAAGGACATGAGCTGTTACTCAAGGATACTATATCTAGGAGTAAATTAATTGAGGGATTGGCATAAATGACAAGCAGTGTTTCAACAGCCCGCGTAACCAAAAACAACAAAACAATTGAGATCTAGTGCATAAGCTCCATCGTCAAATATTCAGTTCATGTTGCAAGTACATTAAAAGGGCATTGCAACAGACATCATACATAAACCGAAGACCTATATGACAATAAACAACAGTTTGCATTCTGTTTTATTTCTATCACACGGATTATATAACAGGAGGATAAGCACTCAGACACAATCAGATCCCAAGCAACAAAACTCACCATCGGTACTACTATTCTGTCATGGCCTGTTCGCGCCAAGAATGTGTAAGAGAGGAGACCAATGCTTTGAGTCAATGTCCTGTCCAACGAAATAGGGAAACAACCATATCAACTTAACACAAAAGTATAAACTTTAAAGCTGGATTAACATATACGTTGGTGGTTCACTTTAACAAAAACTACTCAAACAAGTCCAGCAGCAAAGCAAAAAAAACAAAGATTAAATTAACAAACAGCACAGCAGAATAACCAGGAAAAGGATTGTCATAAGGATTTCCTATACCACATTCAGAGCTCATCAGTTACATTTAGAAATGCAATTAATACATATGGTGGCGATGGTGGTTCATTTTAACAAAAACTACTCAAACAAGTCCAGCAGCAAAGCGTAAAAACAAAGATTAAATTAACATACAGCACAGCAGAATAACCAGGACACAAACATAAAGACATCCATGCAAATCAAAAAATTGTATGAACCAAGACATTTCCCAATTTCTTTACACTCAAATGAACTCATGGACTAAAAAAGTTCATCTATCACAAAAAAACAATGATCTTTGAATGTTTCAACAGTCATTTTACTGATCCTCCTAACATTGTCCTCTATCGCCCTGCCCTGCCCCCCCCCCCCCCCCCCCGGGGCAGGAAATATAAAAAGAGAAGAATCAGTACTAGTGCAGAAATTCCAGAAATATTCCTTTTCTCTTTAATATGCAATGGAAAGTACACATGTCCAAACACTTTCAGATCACCAAATATATGTTTCTGGGCCACTTATGAAAACACAAATAATATAACTATTGGGATAAAACCTTGTATCCTGGTGGCGACTGAAAACAATAACATCCGCGCCAAGTCTCATAGTACTAGTCTTGAAACCATTTCCATCTGGAAAGCTACAAGTCAACCAATAAATGCCAAAGGAGATAGTAAAACAGAATTTAGAGTGAATGGTAAAACTTATACATTGTCCAATGGCTGATTTTGACTTCTTATCTGAAAACCCAAAACTCATACAACGCCGCATGGCTTCAGGGTCCATCCCACTACCATCATCTAGATATAAAGTATCAAATTTTGGAACCAAAAGTCAGCTAAATACACTTGAATATTGAAGATTTTGACAAAGATAAAAATAAAAACTCCTGTGCATATAGACAATACCTTGAATTAACAATGCCGGACTTCCATCCCTTGGATTCAAGATTTTATCTACAATGACAAAAGTGGCCCCATTTTGTATCTATCCAAAATAACAACGAAAGAGAGTGGAATGAAAAGCATGATAAGATAGGTCAAACTAGGCAAAAACACAATAACATCAAGGGAAAATCCATAAAAAAAATAAACAAAACAAAAGTTGAGCAAATATCACGAACAGGAACCCATCGCCTGCTCAGAAACTTCAGAAAACTATGAAAGATCCTACTGAAATATTGAACTCCACCTAACATAATTGTCACGGAACTCCTCAAAGAAGCTATTATTCTCGACTACTGCTGGGAGGTAGAAACAGTAAAATATAAAGATTCATAACTTACCTCATCAACTACATTGTCAAGTAGTTCTGCAATGGCTGAAAACAGGGAGAAAGTAGTAAGATTGAATTCACTAATCACATACAGAAAGATGAGATGAAATGCGATTGAACATACCGCCAAACGCCCATTTATGCGAAGTGGCATTTGAATGAAGGAACATAGGATGGACATGTAGATAGTTTTTGCCATCTAAGGATTGTTATGTAAACATTATTAGTGAAATTCCGGACGTAATCAAGTTCAAAAACAACAAAAATATAACAGTAGATAGTAGGGTACTTTGAAATGCGACTTTAGAACCAACAGCGTCATTATAGCTCCCAGCTTTCCAAAACTGCCGGCAAAGCGGTGCCGGACTGAAAGTTGATGTAGAAGAGACGCCGGTATCATCCACCGGAGACTGCCTCTGGTCTAATATACTAGAGCTACTATGACAGGGACTTAAAGCATTTGAGCTCCTATTTTCTTCAGATTCCCGAATCCCATGCGGGTTTTTCGATATTTTATGCTTCGCTATTCGAGCTTTAGGCTTGTCTTTCCGCTGCAATTGTATTCCAATGAGACCTGGCTCCAACTTAACAGGTTTCACATCCACCTCCTCTCTCTCCCCAACTTCATCGTCACTAGATAAATCCACAACATCTATCACAGGCATCCTAAACACTAACAAAAATTAAACACGCATCCACACTGTAAGAACTTTGAAGAAGTATCAAACAATGCACCATAACATCAACAAGAAAGCAAGATATCAAAGATCAAGGACAAACCATTGACAATCAACGAACCGACTGCAGAATCGAGGGCTTCGGTAATGCCCAATTCTACAACCGAATCCGATACCGACTGAGTCGCTCGCCGACTTTTCGGTTCAAATCGGTTCCAAATCGGTTCCAAATCGGTTAGCTCCGACGATAAGGCGATGAATAGATCATCAAATTCGCTGTTATTGACGTCGATGACACTGTTCAAATCAAAGAGGAGAAGGAGTGATCTGTGACGTCAAAGGAGGTAATTGAAGAGGAGGAATGAGATGCGTTGGTTAGATTAGATTTTTTGTCAAACCCAGTTGCCAGATGAAGATTTGCAGAGAGATGGAAGGAGGAGGATGTAGAGGGATCAAACTGCAGCTAGGGTTTTGTTAAGGTTAAATTACGTTTTGCTCCTCAGCTTTGCGTTTAATTGCAACCTCACACATCTAAAATATTTCAATCGCATACCATTATGTTGAAAATACTGCTAGGTGAATGAATGCCGATAGTGATATTGATAACATTAGTAGATTTTTTAATGTCCACAAAAAGTGATATTGACTTGGGAAATGAAAGAGGATTGTATTGTCAAAAGATGCTTGTTGTAAATTTCAACATATAGTTAATACGTTTGTTTGGAGTTACTCTATAAAAAGAGCATTTCGTATGTTTTCCAGAAACATTACGAAAAAGAAAAGATCAATAACATCAGTATCCATCTCTCCTTCTTCTATTTGTCATCCCCTTGTGTTATAGTTACAATATAATATTTTATACCTGCTTCACTCATGTCACTAGTAAAGGTTATCTCTTTAACTTTCACCTATTTATAACACGTTATCAGCACGACTCACTAACCATTTCTCATTTCTCTTTGCCAAAAGAAAAAAAAACTGTTTCCTCTAAGGATTTTACTATTCTTCTTCTTCCTCTACCTCAACTGCTGGATATACCCTCGTGAAGAACTGTTTGCACTATGTCTGCTTCTAGTTCTCAACCTAACAGTTACTTATATCTTTAATTTTTTTTGTTTGGTGTAGCTCTTGATTACTAACCAAGTATTTATTTATGTTAATTTTACTGCAATCCAAAATGGTGTGGTACAATCACCCATCTTGAACTACAAATTTAATCTTATTGCAATTTAAGATGGTGCGTATCATTGCCTATCCTGGATTGCAGATCTAATTTTACTGCAAATTTTAGATGGAGTGATATAATCGCTCACCCCACCCTAGGGGTGGTTCGGTATGGGATCTCATACCGAAACCCTTGTCCCGATTCCCAAACCGAAATTTTTGGGAATCCCAAATTCAATACCAATCCCAAACCAAATTTTCGGGAATCCCGAAATAATTTTGGGATTTCGGGACAAATCGGGAATCCCGAAATGCTTTTGGGCTTTTGGACTAAAATTTGACATGTTATGTTTTTGGGCTAAAATTTGACATATTATGCTTTTAGGCCCAAATTGCCAATTTGTTATTTCTACTAATTTGTCCATTGCCCACTGCACAAATTTGATATAATTTCATAAATTAAGTTTCAATCTACCCACTACCCATTTCCATTTGTGCACAAAGTTTCAATAATAACAAAGTTTCAATCTGCCCACTACACATGCATCATGCATGCAATAAAAATAAATTAGGTACCAAACCCAAAAGCAAAAATAATAGTTACAAGCCAAGGTTTTAAAATAAATAAAGTAACAAACTCAAAAGGAAAAATAATAGTTACAAGCCAAGGTTTTAAAATAAATAAAGTAACAAACCCAAAATCAAAAAAATTAATTATGAGCCAAAGTTTCAATAATTAAGTTACAAACCAAAAGCTAAAAAGCAAAGCTTAAAGTCTATAAATATTGTTGGCCTCTTCGGCCCCTTCGTCCCCTTGATCTTGTTGATGCTTGTGGTTGCTCCCTTCTTGTTGGTACTTGTACTCTTCCCCTTGATGTTGATGGTTGAGCCCTTCCCCTTGCAATGGGTGGTCGTGGAGGTAGTGATTGATTTTGACGTTGTTGAACTTCAACTTGGAGTGGTCGAGGAGGTAGAGGTGGCATTTCATTTTCTTGTGTTGTATTCTCCTCACCTCCCAAATTAGCTTGCCTAAAACAATAAACCACAAATCATTTACATTGAATTATAGTCTAATAGATAATAAATACTAAGAAAATAAAAGAGGAAATTAAATTGTTTACTTACTTCTTTCTAAGCGTTCAAGCTCCTTGTAGAAATGGAATTCGTCAAGTGTAGGCTCCTTGTAGAAACAAAATTCTTTTCCTCTAAGCCAATCACTAGTACACACTAAAGCCTTAACCGTTTTAGGTGTTAAGGAAGTTCTAAAAAGATCAACAACTCTCCCACCAAGACTAAAAGCATTCTCACTAGCAACGGTGCTACTAGGAAGGGCCAAAACATCCTTAGCAACTTTACTAAGAGTTGGATATTGAACACAATTTCCTTTCCACCAATCCAAAAGATTGAAACCCTCATATGTTAGGCTTTGATGTGGATCATTGAAGTACATATCCACTTCATTGGCTATCTCATTTTGTTGTGCCTCCGCTCTCTTTCGTTGGATCTTCTTTGTCATCCTTGAAGCAACATCAATATCTACAATCACACCCCCCACATCATCTAATACAACACTTGATCGTTGCTCCACATTTGAGGTAGCACTACTACTAGTACTACTAGTACTACTACTACTAAGGACCACTCCCTCCTTGTATGCATTATACAACTCGGTTACATAGCCTTTAACCCTTACTTTCTCCTCCCTTATTTTGTCCCATCCATAGCCAAGCTCTTCTAGATTTGTCTCCAACATATCAAATTTGTACCTAGGGTCGAGTACTTGGGCTACAAAGAGAATAGGATTCACCTTTTCAATGTGACCCCAATATTTGTCAACCTTGAGCTTCATTGAGGTAGCCACACTTTGCAAAGTGGCATTAGCGGCGTTTAAAATTTGTTCTTGTATCTCCACTTGCAAGGCAATCACTGTGCTAAGTATTAAGTGTGACGTTGGAGTAAGGGTTGCACTCAATGTCAAGGTGGCATCATAAAACTTTTTAAGAAAATGAGCAAAACTCATCGACCTTTCCCAATCATCCACCTCCGGAGGACCCACCCGCTTGGTCTTTGTTGTCACCCCATCAACCTCTTTCGAGACCTCCTCTTTAAAGTAAGCAATAAAAGAGTTACACTCAAAGGCCATCTTAGAAAACACTTCTTTAAACTTGAAAGCACTATTAAGCATCTCATATGTAGCATTCCACCTTGTGACAACATCAAAAGGGATACTTGACATCCTATCAAATCTCAACAAGACACAATATTCCCTAAAAGACTCCAACCTTGCCGGGGATGAGTGTATAAACTTCACACAATTTCTTATGGCATCAATTTCACAACTAAGCTCCGTCATTCCATCCTTAACTATCAAATTGAGGATGTGACAAGCGCACCTCATGTGCAAGTGAGCCCCGTCAAGTAAAAGAGTACCATTTGACTTGAGTCTTCTTTTCATGTATGCAATGGCGGTGTCATTTGCACAAGCATTGTCAACGGTAATACTAAACACCTTGTCAATGCCCCAATCATTCAAGCAAACCTCTAGACATCTTCCAATATCATCACCCTTATGAGAAGTAACCTGGACAAAGTTTAGGATCCTCTTATGCAACCCCCAATTAGTGTCCAAAAAATGGGCCGTGATGACCATGTAGTTTATCATTTGAATTGAGGTCCAAGTGTCGGTTGTAATACTCACTCTCAACCCCTCAATCACACTTTTTATTTTAGCCTTCTCTTCAACATACAACTCCAAAACCGCCGCCGCCACCTTATGCCTATTAGGAAGTTTGTATTTTGGATTCAAATCACGAATAAAATCTCGAAAGTCTTCTTGATCAACCACCCTAAAAGGCATCTCTGCTATTATAATCCACCTCACACATCTCCTATCAAGTCTTTTTTGATTGAAAGTGTGAGTGACAAACGGACCTCCCATCCTCGCTTGTGTCAATGTAGGTTGCTTCGGATCCACATTCTCAAAGAGACTAGAACCCGGGCATTTCCTCAAATGCTTAAGAATTCCCGTCGTCCCATGAATTATAGCGTGTGCCGGTACTAAGAGTTTGCAATGCTTGCATTCAGTCATGAAAGATTTCTCCCCATTATTATCGGTGATCGTTACCCTCTTAGCATCATTCCACGCCGGACTTGGACCCTTTCTCCTATTGCCCTTTTTCCGAGGAGGACCCTCTCATTGTCTCACTACTTCTTCTTCTTCTTCTACTTCCTCTTCCCCCGCTTCCCCCTCTTCCTCATCTTCTTCTATTATTCTAATGCAATATCCTCCTCCATATCGGGATCATCATCCCAACAATCTTCATAATAATCATTATGCAAATAATCTTGAGGTGAGGGAGTACCTAGTTGAAGGGTACCACTAGGTTGGGTTTGTTTTCGTTTTCCTAATACCGAGACCATAGGTGTACTAGATTGGCTACTAGACCCGTCCATCCTAACAAATAAAATAACAATGCACATTAATATATCACAACCACAGTTCAGCATATATCCAAATTCCAATCAATAAATAAAATAAATGGTTCAAAAATCTGAGCATTCAACATAGAAAATATATGGTTGTGAGAAAAATAACTCAAAATATATAACAGAAATCAAAAGAAATCTGCCTATTCAATACTTTCATGGCATCTGCCTAATCTGCCAATTTGACATAGTTTTATACTTTGCTAACAAACATTAAGGCAAGACCATGTCTCTAAGATTCTCAAAGCCAAAACAAAAATATTACCTGACGCAACGTGTGACTAATTTGAAGTTTGAACAGGTGGAATGATTAACTCCTAAGTTGCTACAACAGTGCTAAACCTGCAAACACTACCAGGAAAAATGTTAAGATGTGAAAGGTTAACAGGTGAAGGCATCGTGGAAAGCATGCATGATGGAAAGCTATATGGTTCTGTAACCTAGCATATGTATAAGCAGATCCCAGAATTAAGGCAGAAAACGAAACACGTATACAGTTTTACTAAGAGATGAATGACTGGAAAAATGCCAAAAACCATGCCAGTTGAACAAACAAATCATATCCAATAATTATGATAATATATACTGATTAATGCCAATAATTTGACAGAACGAGCATATCATATCAAAAAATCTAATGTCATCTCACCCCACATTTCAACTTTGATTCCTCCTCCACATAGTTGTAATTAAATGAAAATTTTGGCAGCGCCCATGTCTGAAAGAACTGAACAACCATATTGTGTACTCGAAAACAAAAGAAAAAAAATTTGAGCTCAACTAATTGCATGCCCTGTACCCACCTTGTCCGTGTATATATATAATATATGTATACTGATATGTTCATGCATGCA